GATAATCTTGCTGGGTATAGTATCCTTGGTTGAAATTGTTTTTTTATGTAACATCTTGAATTTATTTTCCCATTCTTTCCTTACTTGCATTGTTTCTGATGAGAGATTCCGACGTTAGCCTGATGGGATAGTCTTTGAAAGTAACTTGACATTTCTCTTTTGCCAAATTTAGTATCTTGTCTCTGTCTGTGGTTTTGGTCAACATGGCTATAATGTGCCTTCGAAAAGATCTTAGTTTATATTTTGTGGAGTCTTTTGTATTACTTGGGTCTGGATATTTGAATGTATCTCTAGATTTAGAAAGTTTTCTTCCAGGATTTCTTGGAATAGATTATCAATGTCTTTATTAGTTTCTTCACCTTTTGGGATACTTATGATCAGGATGTTTTGGCATTTAATGATATCTAGTATTACTCATATGTTTTTCTCATTTTTTGGGGGGTTATTTTCTCAGTCTTTTTGGTGAATTTTTCTAGGTCAGAGGTTCTATCTTCTACATCTGAGATTCGATCTTCTGCATGATCTAACCTGCTTTTAATACTTTCAAGAGAGTTTTTAACTTCTTGTATTATAGCCTTCATCTCTAATAATTCTGTTTGATTCTTTTTTGTGATGTGTATTTCCTCTTTCACATGGTACAAGAATTTCCTCACCTCCAGGAACTCATTGTCTCTTTTCTCCTGCATCTTCTGGAGTTCATTGTTTCTCTTCTCTTGCATCTCTGTTATTTTTGTCACTGTGAATATTTTAAATGATTTATCTGACATTTCCACAAGTTCCCTTGTATTCTCTGTGAGGAAGAGGAGTTATTCTTTTCTCTTAGGGGAGAGATATTTTCTTGGTTTCTCATATTTCTTTTGCCTCTGTGGTACTTTCTGATCATCTAATAAATTATATGTTTTTTTCCTAGTTTTTGGAGTTAAATTTGAGCATTCAGAGGTATATGGGAGTTGGGCACCTGCAACCTCTAAAAAGGACCATTTTTCTCCCTTTGTGGAGCAGATTCAATGGAAATTAAGGATTCATCTGACCCTAAAAGCCAAATATTCAGATACTTGACTACTGTGCACCTAGTTCTGCCTAGAAACTCAGTGTGTGGATGCCGAGCAGAAACGTGAGAAAGGTAAAAAGAAAAAGAAAAGGAAAAGAGAAAACCGAGAGAGAGAGAGAGAGAGAGAGAGAAAGAAAGGTTAAAAAAAAAAAGAAAACATATAAAGCAAAAATTGAAACCCACGTGGTGCACTAGTGTACTGCACAAAAGGGGCCACTCAGAACTCGGATATAGATGGCTGGTGATTGGCTTGTCCTATGAAAGCTGGTGGAAAGGTAAACATTAGCAAGATATAAGAGTGACGGATTGCTAAGAAGTTTAAAATAAAAGAAAAGAAATTAAAGAGAGAGAGAGACAGAGACAGAGACAGAATAAATAGGGTGCTCTAACCTGGCTCCCGACTAATCTATTATATGAATAATCCACATTTGTTCTTCTAATTGAGTGGTTGTCATGCGTGCTGTTCACCAATATTTCTAGCTTAGCTTTCTTCTGGCATAAGGTAAGATTTTATTTCCTGTGCTCTGTGTGTATGGGTTGGGCCATATGGTTGCTTTTGATTGGCTACGATGTGAGTAGAAGTGATATTATCACTTTTTGGGCTTAGCATTTAATTTCCAGTGCAGGTACCTTTAGAATTCTCTTATTTTCCTTTGATCATGACAAATGGCAGTTTTCAGGATGGAGATTGAGTCCCTGAGTAACTTAAATGAGCAGAGCTTCCTGCCTACTTGTTGAGAATGTGTAACATGAGAAAGTTTTAAATCTTTTTTTTTGAGCTACTGAGATTTTTGGGGTTGTTTTTTTCCTACAGTATAACTACCATGAGGGCATTTGATATGTTTCCAGTTGTTTGCTATGGCAGATAATGGTATAATAAATGTCTTTGTTCATGTGTGTTTGGACTCATTCAAAGGTTCTTGAGAATACTGCCCTTCAAATGTTGCTATGCATATAAATCACATTCTTTAACTGTAGATTCTGATTGAGAAGGTCTAGAGTAATTCCTGAGATCCTAAATTTTTCTTTTTTTTTTTTTTTTGAGAGGTTTTTGCTACAGGGTACGTGCGCTCTCCAGAAAGACAGAGAGAGACAGAGAGACAGAAAGTGAGAAATCTCTCTCTAAGGGTGATGGCCATGCCACAGTCCCTTCTCCTCCATTCTCCTCTTGGGATCTTGGGCACACATGCATGCGTGCCCGACGTGAGTTTAAACCACCAGGTCTGGGACTCAAATCACGGTCAACTATGTGGAATTCCAGCAACGTAGCCATTACGCCAACTGCTGGTCCCGAGATTCTACATTTTTCAACCAAGGTGATGTCAGTATGGTTTAGGGTTTATACCTAGAAGGAGATGTATCAAAGAAAGGATATTCATGCCTTTGATCTTACTAGCTATT